TCAATGTATATTTTTATTGAATTGTGTGCATTCCATACAAAATATCTTAATCACTTTTATAACCACTCTCCCGTTTGTACCTTCATAGTCCCTCCACCAGATTTTATGCATTCTGTCATATACGTTAAGGCCTATCAAATCAAGCTTGTGTACCCAACTGCAACATTTGACTCCATAGCTTTTCTTAGTAACTTGCTTCTCACAGAGCTTATCCACTATCAAAGGAGATTTATTATACTGTCTTGCATGGTACAGGCTGATTAGACCAACAATGACTGCACAATGGAGAGGCTGAAAACTGGGGAGGTGCTGTGCTGAAGGTCAGAAAAGATTCCTCAGAAGTTGCTGGTCCTTAGTTTCTTTGTGGACAGACTATCACTGGAAGTTGCTACTCCTGGAGAAGGCTCTGCCTTCATTAGTTAATACTTCAGGGCATACTCTCATGGATTTGTCTAGAAGAGTGTCTCTCAGTTGACTCAATATCCAATCAAATAGACAAAGATTAACATCCCACAAATTAAAGTGTTACAGGGGTTGGAGAACTGGCTTGGTGGTAGGATCACTTACTACTCTTACAATGAACCTGGGTTCAGTGCCCAGCACCCATGTGGGCCTCACAATTGTCAGTAACTCCAGTTCCAGGGGATTTGACATGCTTTTCTGGCCTCCATGGGAATTGTACACATGTGATGTACTTACATGCTGGCAAGGCACTCATACACATAAAATAAAAATAAATAAATTTTTTTAAGTGTTATGAAACATGAACACTAATTTATGTAAGAAACATTTAAAAACTCCAAACAAACATAGACATAATGATATATTTTACTATAAACTAAATGACCAAAAGTATAGACATGGGAAAGGTTTACATTTCATTTGTGCTCCTTTTTCTGTTTTCCTCTGTGGATTCATTTATTTGCACCTTTCCCTCTCTCTCTTTTGTGTTGATTGTCTTATAAGAAATTTCTATTATTTCTATTTCCATTTAAAGAATGTTGTCATTTATATTATATACTTAATTATTTATAAATTAATGTCATTTTTGGCATTTTATTAAAATTATAATTTATTTTAAAGTTTTATGCTTGAATACATAAATTTACTTTGCTAAACATTAATCAACTGCCAGGTATTGCATATGTGAACCACTTAGTGAGACTGCTAATATTTTGATATATTGTATCAGATTCTTCAGTAGAAATGCATTCTCATATTATATCACAAAACATCTGCATAGGTATTGATCACTGAAAATTTAAAGCTCTTGAACCGTATTTATAATTTATAAGAAGAAGAGTAAGTAGTGATATCAGATAATTTTATCTTCAACTAGGAGTAAAGGACTCTCTCTACCTCCTGTTCTGTTATCAACGCCTCCTAAGAATAATCAGGAAGCAAAACACAGTGGTTGATTAGTAAATGTAACATCTTAGAGAAGAGCAAAGGCATCACTGAGATGTCTCAAAAGAGGGGTAGCCATGAGATTTTCTTTTACTTGAACCCAGCCCAGGTGTCTCCGTTCGATGTTTGAGGGTGGATAAAAGGAAATAATTTCAAAAAAACAAATTCCCATAACATTGAAATCCTGTTGAATGTTTTCATGCAACTCACAATCGGCGCATTAGAATGTATATAATTCTATTTAATTTCTCTATGGCACCTAATTGAATTATTCTTCATGTCTTCATATGAAACCTTTTCATGCTTTAGGCTGTGCTTCTATACAAACTAATGCATTAACAGAATGGTGCTGGAGAGTGACATAGTCACCTTTTATGAGGTTTGAGATGAAAGCAGGGAGCTGCTCATATAGACAGAGCTTTGAATTATTAAGAACACTGCATGGAAATGTAATAATCATAATCATCATAATAATAAAATGCATTATTTCATGAGACTTAATGGATGTTATTCAATTCCTTATGTAATATAAATTCATACATTAGATATACTCACCATATGTTATAACTATTAATATTGTTCTTTGTATTTTCATTATGAGAAAAACACTTTCAGTTAGAACATACTTGAACAAGATTCCTGTCCAGTTCATACTTATATAACAAAACAACCCAAAGTTTTTACATTGTAGAAAGATGTTCAGATTGCTCACAGTTCTGCAGATTTTGGATCATGGCAAGTACTTGGCTCTGGAGTGCACAGTGTCAGGTAACACAATAATACAGAACAAGGTACAGGTAGGAAGAGGTCACATGGTAAACCAGGAAACAAGAGTTGAGAATAAGTCAACGGTGCTTTCAGATTATTTTTTAAATTTATTTTTAAAAATATTTTGTTATGTTTATTTTATGTGTACACGTGTATTGCCTGCGTGTAGTTAAGTGCACCTGTGTCGTGGAATGAATGTCCATGGAGGACAGAAGAGGCTATCAGATCCCCTGGCGCTGGAGTTATTGAGAGTTGTTAGCTGCCATGTGGGTGCTGAGATTCAAACCCCAGTCTTCTGAAGAACAGTCAGTGTTCTTAACCATTGAGCCATCTCTCCAGCCCCTCAGATCATTTTTTAATAACAAAAATCGTTAAAAGAATTCCCTTCCACCCAGAACTTACACAGCCAAGCAATACAGCGTGAATGCATACAATGGTGGAGTCTTCATGACCTAATGACCTGTATGAGGGTCCATCTTTTAAAGGTTCCTCCTTCTCAGCTCTGTAACTCTGGAGCCCAAGCTTCTAGCACAGGACCTTGGGGGCAGATCACATCCCAACAGCAGCTTGAACATTTCCTGTCTTATAAATGCTGGTTTATTTTCTAGGAACAACACAGATGCAGAAATTTCATGGGGAAAAGAATTTATATCTTAATTTTACTACTTAATCTCATTTATGTTCCTAAGAAATATTTAGGTTACCTTATTATAGAAAATGAAAGTATATGCTCACTGACATTGGTTGTATATTTTCACTGGTTATCTTTTTTTCTATTGAACTTTTAAACTAAATTCATGGGTGTTTTCATTTATTCTGGTTATGAATTTCTCCTTTATCTCCATGATTTGAAAAGATTGTCTCCCAGATTTCTACCACTTTTTTTTGCAATTAATTCTGTTGTAGTAGGTGTTTCAAAAAACTAAAAATATATTTCCCCAGTGTCCCAGCCATACCAACCTAAGGTATTTATGCTAAGGACACCAAGTCACCCCATCACAGAGACAGTTGCACGCCAATGTTTATTGCGTCAGTGTTCAAATTAGCTCAGTTATAGCAACAATGTTTAAGTCCAAACAGCAAAGAAATGGATAAGGGAAATGTAGTATAATTGCACAATAGAATGTTTTAGCTATAAAAATAGATGCAACTGGAGATAATTATATAAAATGAATTTCCCAGGGGCCAGAGGCAAATAGCATGTGTTTTTTGTCATTTGTAGTTCCTAGATTTTATATAGCTACATAAAATCGTGTATGGACATGTGACATGAAAAGGGCAGTGAGCTGACCAGGAGCACAAAGGGCTCTGACAGGAGGGAGAGTGGCCAGAACTGGGAGGGGAGGGGTCACGGGGGAGGGAAACATGTTCAACAGGATGTATACTCATTTGTAAATCTAAAAATAAAAATGAAACAGCATTTTAAACTGTAATTTTGTTTATATTTGCAATATTCAGTATGTTTCATTTTGTAATTCTATCTACAACAACTTTTCAAATATTTTTGATAAAATTTTTTACACCAAACTCCAAAATAGACCAAAGGATCATATTTCCGATGTTAACAAAAACCTCTATTGATAAGCCAGCATTTTCTTATCTAAAATCTGAAGAAAGCATTACCATTTACACTATAGCTCACTCAGAAAAAATAGGATATGGGGAAGTAGGGTTTCAGGAGGTGACAAATCACAGAGACAACGAAGCTCTGAAGGGTTTTTGGAACCATGTCCATCTTCAGAACTTTGCAATATTTCTTGCAACTTCTTCTTGGCAACTGTCAAGAGTTTACTACAAGTGAAGCCACTAGGCATTTTTAGGAAAGGTCATCCAAAGAACACATCAGCACAAATACTTACAGTCAACAGAAAGGAAATAAAATAAAAATTTCTTTTACACTTCAGAAAGACTAAAGAACTTGCATGTGGTGACAGTATAATACCCTGAAATAATATATTTTACTGCTTTCAACTTACAATTTATATGGCAATAGGTGAAGTTCACTTCTGCTTTAGGCTAAGCATGTCTTAATTAGAAATTTACAGTCTTAATTTGATCTCTAAAATTATTTTACTGAAATATTTTTCCTCATTTTCTACTTCTTGTGGCCCTGATATTTGGGAATGGAAAGAAAAAAAAAAAGAAAAAGAAGAGAGGCAGCCACAACCTGTGCTTTCAACGAAGCAGCACCAACCTGTTCCATAGTAACTTCAGTAGAAAAATGCACGCTTATTAAAACCGTGTACGCAGAACGCACAGTACTGCAAGGGGACTTTTAAAACTTATTAATATTTAATGCCTGTGATTTCGTAGAAATTCTAAGAATATTAATGAAATACTTGTGGTATTCATAGTCATCAGAGAAAGCCAGGTTGGCAGTGGTGACTAGATGTGGCCCCTCAGATCTCTCAGGTTTATTTGGCTGTGCTCGCCCATCCTCCATGCTGTCTTCCTCCTACCATTCTGGCCTTTGTCTGCTGTCAAATTGTAAAGGGATTTGTATTCGCCTATGTAACAGCCTTCAGTCAGTTAAAGCAAGTACTAAAGAGTTTTCAGTGAGCTTTCTTCCAACAGACTGGATTAATTTATTTAATTTTTGGTGAAAAGCTAAAACAAGAGACAGGTGGCCTTTATGAAGTAGACCAATTTTAATTTCATCTACTTTATTCTTGGAAAGACAAGAAGGTAGTGGCAAGAGACTAATTAGATATGATCAGCTTTCATCTGGGAATGTGACAAGTGGACATCACGTGCATTCAGTATCCTGAGATTACATTGTAACATTTGCTGTGTCGTGCTAATAACCATTTCCCAGCAGGAGTGAAATGCAGTGGTTACTGAGAACAGTGTCCTTTCTCGTTTTACTTGGAAATACATGTTGTTTATTTAAACAAGAACCCAGGAATCCTGAAGCCTACATGAATGTGAGTTAATTTATCACTAACAAAGATGATTTTGTCATTGCAGGTTTCACTCGTTCTTTTAGAATTGCTGTGTCTGTTATAGTTGAAAGTTTTCTTCTCATAGAATATGCTACCAAACCTAAACAAAATTATTTTGAAGATCAACTGAACATGAAACTCAATACTTTGTTTTCACATTTAGCGTGAGGTAATTTCCTATTGGGCCGATGCAACTGAAGAGTATGAGATTGTGACCGAAGATGGTTATAGCCTCACAGTTTACCGCATCCCCCGTGGAAAGAATGATTCTAGTGATTTAGGTAAGATTGGAATGACCGAAATAAATGGAAACTGTTAACGTCTGAGTCACATATTTTCTGTGAAACAACTTCCTAATAAGTCACATGTAAATTTACTTACTTGTAATGAATCTCAAGTCATCCCCAACTCCTGAATATAATGTTGGGTATCTGAGTGACTCCTAATTCAAGTTTGTAGAGATGAACACCAATTGACTCAGAATTTATCTTTCTATACTGGGTAGGAGCTCAGAGTCCCTAAGTTAATGGCCCAGGACTTTCAGCACACTGATCCTGTAGGATGTTTTACTTCACTGCTACGAGACCTCGTAATTATTGTTTCTGGTGGTAACTGTGGAGACCTGCTTACCTCGGCTTTTATCTTGGTCCTTAGACTGTGCAGATGCTACCCAAGTTCAGGGTTTTTTCCCCTTAGTTATCTGCATATGTATCTTTTGTATATAGAAAAAAGTCCTACTTATGTATGCTTCTCTTATCTTCATTATGTATGAATGCCTAAATAGAAAAGAATATAACTCTGAAATTCTAAAATGAACACATTCAGCAAGGAAGTATATGTGTGAGCATGGTAGAGGAGGAAGACAGTGTGGGATCTTATAACTGTAACAATTCTTTTGTCATGAGGAACATGAAATATTGTTCACTGATACATTATAAATGTAACGAAATCCTTTTTTTTAATCCTTTCTGTTCTTTAGTGTCTCATGTATTCTAGCATCCTACAACATGCTTTTATAACATATGTCCTTTCTGTCACAGATAAAGCAATTAGGCAAGACAAATGAATAAAAGGAATAAAAAGCATAAGTAAAATTATTTCTGTCTGGAGATGTCATGTACTTATAAAGAAGAACATTCTAAAGATTGCACAACAGACCCACCTATACCTGTCAGGTGTCTTCGTTCCCCAATGCCAGCATTCCCTGTCTGCTGCCCAGCTCTCCCAGGCCTAGCTCTGGTCTTGCACCCTGCGCATCTGCCAGATTGGTGAGTTCTCTAACCCCAGAATTCTCTTTTTACCACCCTACACTCCAAGTCCTACTTTGGGATGCTCCATTTTCATACCTGCTCAGCATGGTCAGGTCTACAGGACCTCACCTGTCCTTGTGCCTACACTCCCAGGCATAGTTGGGGTCATATGGTAGGTTCATTTTTAGTTTTGAAAGAGTTCTCCACACTTTTACATAGAGGTTGCATGAGTTTGCAATCCCACAGGCAGTGAATGAATGTTCCCTTTTCTCCACATCCTTGCCAGCATTTGGTATCATTTGTTCTCTTCATCCTAGCCAGTCTGATTGGGGAAACCTAAGGTGGTTTTAATTTGCATTTCCATAATTACTAATGATGTTGAACACTTTTTAATATGTTTCTTATCCATCTTTATTTCTTCCTTGAAAACACTCTATGTCTTTAGCCCATCTTTTAATGGGGTCATTTGTTTTCTTGGTTCTTTGTTTCTTGAGTTCTCTATATATTCTGGATGTTAAACCTCTGTCAGATATGTCACTGGTGAAGACTTTTTCCCATTCTGTGGGTTTTCTCTTCACTTTTTTGATTGTTTCTTTTGTTGTACAGAAGCTTTTTAGTGGAATGGGGTCCTACTTGTTGATTGCTGACCTTAATTTGTGAGCAACTTCTGTCTGATTTAGAAAATCCTTTCCTACACCCATGTCTTCGAAGTTACTGCCAATTTTTTTTTCTTCTAATAGTTACAGGGTTTCCAGTTTCACATTGAGGCCTTTGTTTCATTTGGAGTTGACTTTTGTGCAAGGTGAAAGATAAGGATCTAATTTCATTCTTCTACAGGTGGAGATCCAGTTTTGCCAGCACCATTTATTGAAGATGCTGTCTTTCCTCCATTGTGTGTTCTTGGCATCTTTGTCAAATATCAGGTGGCTGAAATTGTGTGTACTAGGGTTTGGATCTTTAATGATGTTCTATTGATCTATGAGTCTATTTTTGTGTCAATATCATGCTTTCTTTAATGACTATAGCTCTGTAGTATACTTTGAGATCTGGTATAGTAATCGCCCCAGTCTTGCTCTTTGTGGTCAGGGTTGCTTTGGCTATCTGGGGTCTTTTGTACCTCCATATGAATTTAAGCATGTTTTTTTTTTCCTAATTCTGTGAAGTATATCATGGGGATTTTGATGGGGATTGCGTTGAATCTTGTGCTGGATAGCGTTAGTGTCAACTTGACACACCTGGGTTGAGGGAGCCTCAATTGGGGAATTACCTCTATTGGAATGGCCTGTGGCCATGTCTGAGGGGCATCTTCTTGATGAATGATGTGGGAGGGCCCAGCACACTGTGGGTGGTGCTACCTCTGGGCAGGTGGGCCTGTGTTGCATAAGATAGCAAGCTGAACAGGGGCCAGGGAAGCAAGCCAGTAATCAGCATTCCTCCATGGCCCGTGCTCCAGCTCCTGCTTCCAGGTTCCTGGCCTGAGTTCCTACCTTGGGTTCCCTGATGAACTGTGACCTGGGAGATGTAAGCTGAATAAAGCCTTTCCTCCCCAAGTTGGTATTGGTCAGAGTATTTTGTCACAGCAATGAAGAACAAACTAGGATATATATTGCTTTCGGTAGGATAGTCCTTTTCACAATATTAATTCTTCCAATCCATGAGCCTGGGAGGTCCTTCCATCTCCTGGTGTCTTCCTCAATGTCTTTCTTTAATGATTAAAATTTTCATTGTAAATATCTTTGGTGTCTTTGGTAAGATTTATTCCAAGATATATTTTTTTTGCAGCAATTGTGAGTGGGAGCATTTCCCTGTATTCTTTTTCCAGTTGCTTGTTATTGGTATATAAGAAGGCTACTGATTTTTGTAGATTGATTTTATAACCTACCAATATACTGAAAGTGCTGATCAGTTCTAGGAGTTTTCTGGTGAAACTTTTGCAGTCTTTTAGGAATAGTATCATATCATCTGCAAAAAGGGATAGTCTGACCTCTTCTTTTCCAATTAGTACTCCTTTAATTTCATTTTCCTGTCTTACTGCTCTAGTGAGAGTTTCAAGCACCATGTTCAAAAGGAATGGAGATTGTGGGCATCATTGTCTGGTTCTTGATTTTAATGGGAATGCTTCCAGTTTTTCTCCATTTAGAATTATGTTGAGGTATGCTCCCTCCAGTCCAATTCCCTCTGGGACTTTGAACATAAATGCATGCTGAATTTTGTCAAAATAGTTTTCTGCATCTATTGAGAGGACCATATGGTTCTTGTCTTTGAGTCCATTTATATGATTTATGATGTTTATTGACTTACATATATTGAAACTTCCCTGCATCTCTGGGATAAAGCCTTCATGATCATGGTGAAAGATCTTTTTGATGTGTGTCTGCATGCAGTTTGCAAGTATTTTGCTGAGATTTTTTGCATCTAAGTTCATTAAGGATATGGGTCTATAGTTTTCATTTTTGGTTGTGTCTTTACCTGGTTTGGGTATTAAAGTGATGGTGGCTTCATAGAAGGAATTTTGGAGTTCTCCTCTGTTTCTATCATTTTGAATCATTTAAGTAGTATTGATTGGAGGTCTTCTTTAAATGTCTGGTAGAATTCTGGTATAAATCCATCCGGGCCTGGGCTTTTTTTTAGTTGGGAGGCTTTATATTACTGTTTTAGTTTCCTTACATGTTATGGGTTTGTTTAAACCGTTGATCTCCTCTTGGTTTAACTTTGGTGGTTCCCATGATTTCAAATATCCATCCATTTCTTTTAGATTTTCAGATTTAGTAACGTATAGGTTTTTAAAATATTCCTTTATAATGGTCTGGATCTTTTTGGTGTCAGTTGTGATGTTTCCCCTTTCATTTATGATTTTGTTGATTTGGATTTGCTCTTTCTTTCTTTTGATTACCTGGGCTAAGAGTCTGTCTATTGTATTTAGCTTTTCAAAGAACCAGCTATTAGATTCATTGATTCTTCGTATTGTTTTCTTTATTTCTATGTCATTAATTTCTGCTCTGATTTTGTTATTTCTTCTCTTCTTCTGGGTTTGGGTTTCATTTGTTCTTGCCTTTCCAGTGTCTTGAGTTGCAGTGTTAGGTCATTTATTTGGGCTCTTTCTAATTTTTAATTGTAGGCACTTAGAGCTACAAAATTCCCTCTTAGGACTGCTTTTAATGTGTCCCAGAGGTTGCATTGTGTTCTATTGTCCTTTTCATTGAATTCAAGGAATTCTTTTATTTCTTTCTTAATTTCTCCTTTGGCCCACTCATTGTTTAGGAGTGTGTTGTTCAATTACCACAAGTTCATGTAGTGACTAGGGCTTTGTCCAGTGTTGATATTGAGCTTTATTGCATTGTGGTCTGATAAAATGCATGGAATTACATCAATTTTTTGTATTTGTTGAGGTTTGTTTTATGGCCCAGTATGTGGTCAGTTTTTGAAAAACTTCCATGGGGTGCTGAGTAGAAAGTGTATTCTTTGGTGCTTGGGTGGAATATTTGAAAGATGTCTGTTAGGTCCATTTGATGTATGATATCATTTAATTCAGACGTCTCTCTGTTTATTCTTTGTCCAGTTGACCTGTCTAATGGAGACAGTAGTGTGTTAAAATCCCCTACCATTATTGAGTTGGGGTTAATCTGTGTCTTAAAATCCTGTAGTGTTGTTTTTATGAATATGGGTGCGCCAGAGTTTGATTCATATATGTTAAGGAATGTAATGTCTTCTTGGTTAACTGTTCCTTTGATCAGAATAAAGTGATCTTCCTTATCTTCTGATTAGTTTTACTTTGAAGTCTATTTAGTCAGATATTAGAATTGCAACCCCTGCTTGTTTCTTAGTGCCATTACTTGGAATATTCTTTTCCATCCGTTTACCTTAAGGTAGTGCCTGTCCTTGAAGGTGAGATGGGTTTCTTGCAGACAGCAAAGAGATGGATTTGTTTCTTAATCCATTCACTTATCCTATGTCTTCTGACTTGGGAGTTCAGTCCATTGATATTTAAGGTTATTATTGAAAGATGTGTATTGGTTGCCATCATTTTGATTGCTGTTTTTGTTCTCTAATTTTGTGTTTCCTTGATTATACCTTTATTTATTTTCTTTTGTTGCCCCTGGGGTATTGTTGTTTCTTTCTCTGCTCTCTGTATTGCTTCAAGTATTCTTTGAATGGCTGGTTTTGTGGACATCTATTCTTTCAAACTATTCATGTTGTGGAAGATTTTTCTTTCTCCCTCAACTACAATAGACATTTTTGATGGGTAAAGTATTCTGAGCTGGCATCTATTGTCATGTAGAACTGGAAATATCTTGGTCCAGGCTCTTCTGGCTTTCATAGTTTGCAGTAGTGAGTTAGCTGTAATTCTGATGGGCTTTCCTTTGTATGTGACTTGCTTTTCTTTTGCTGCTTTCAGTATTCTTTGTTCTGTACATCTAGTATTTTTACTATGATATGTTATGGGGAGTTTCTTTTCTGATCCTATCTATTTGGTGTTGTATGTGCTTCCCGTATTTGTATGGGGATGTTTTTCCTTAATTTTGGGAAATTCTGTTCTATGATCCTGTTTAAGACCTGGTAAACACCATTAACCTGAAATTCTTCTCCTTCCTCTATTCCTATGATCCATAGATTTGATCTTTTCAAGTTGTGCCACATCTCTTGCACGTTCCATTTCTGTTTTTTTTTTTTTTTAAGTTTTTCATAATCTTTGCTTGAGTGGTCCAATTCTTCAAATTTATCCTCCAGTGTTATTATTCTGTTTTCCATTTCATTCATTCTAGTGTTGAGGCTTTCCCCTGTTGTTTCAAGTTGGCTTATTCAGTTTTGCACTTTCTTCTTCATTTCTGCCTGAGTTTTCTTCAATGTTTCTATCTCTTCTGTGAATTCATTCAGAAGTTTATCCCTATCTTCTTTTAGCTCTTTGATTTGTTTGTCAATGTGCTTAAATTCATTGAATTCCTTGATCATGTTTATGATTGTTCTTTTAAATTCAGTGACCTAGGTTATCTCTAGGGGGTTCTCCTTGTAGAACTCTTCTACTGGACTGGTGAAGTTTGGTGGGGA